CTGAGCATCAGAGGAAGCTGCACAGATGGCTCTACACCAGCCACATGATGGCGAGTCTTCTAGAACGAGCTCAGCTTCCAAGTGGCCTCAACTAGGAATCTTTGGATCACCAAAGACAGGCAGAGTACATTTGGCCAACAGCTTCCTCTGTCCTGAGAATTTAAGTTCAAACCCAGCCACCACTTAGGACTGTGGTAGATACGGAGGAATCTAGCCCAGGCTGAGCAGAGCATGGCCCATGTGGAACTTTGTAATTTTATAAACTGCCCCTTTCCAAAAGCCCACCACTCCTGGTATTAGGCTGCATGGCCCAAGGCTCTCTCCACCTAGAAAGGGTCTTTCAGGCATCAATTCCTATGCTTCACACTCTCATGGGTGCACCAGGAAGGAAAACCCCTTTTACTAAGAAATATTCATTTTAAATAAAATACATTTCGTTTGGGAGCAGAGGGCTGAGCATGTTCCCTGAAGCCTGGAACTTAGTATATAGACCAGGCTGGCCTTAGTCTGAGATCCACCTGCTTCAAGTGCTGGGTTTAAAGATGTGCAGCACAATGTCCAGGTTCACTGTTTTTTAAAAATTTTGGTCCTTTTGAGACAGGGTCTCCCTGTAGCTCCAGCCGCCCTGGAACTATGTAGACCAGGCTGGCCTCAAACTCACAGAGATCCGCCTGCCTCTGCCTCCCGAATGCTGGGATTAAAGGCGTGTGCCACCAAGCCTGGCTTTTTTTTTTTTTAACATTCACTTTGTGCCTGGGCATGTCTGCCTTCGTGCATACGGGGAGGAATTGATTCCTTCCAAAATATGGATCCTGGGGAACCAAACTCAAGTCAACAGGCTTGGTCCCAACTCACTGGCCCAGGTTCAACTTCTAAAAAAAAAAAAAAATTAAATTATGCATAAGTGAGTCTTGGTGTGGGTATGTGAACATGAATCCAGGTGCTTGAGGAGTCCAGATGAGGGTATCAAACAGGCTGACATGAGTGCTAGGAACCAAGTTCTGTTCCTTTGCAAGACCAGTACATATTCTTAACTGCTGAGCCCTCTCTCCAGCCCTTCTCATCTTCAATTCATTCAATTAAGCACAGCAAACATCTGAGTATTTATTATGTATTATGCATCCTTATGCAAACTATCTAATGTTCAGAACCACACCTATGAGGTACCTGGAGATAACTAAGGTATATAGTTACATAACCTATAAGTCTCAAAAGCAACAGCACAATTTAAAACTAGGCCAATGCCAAAGCCTGTGCTGTTTCCTGCACTGCTTCTGTGTTTTACCACCCCAGAGCCTAAGGCAGCCCATATATTGCCAGGTAAAGGACTTTTGGTACTCACCTTTTCCAGAGTGACAACAGCCACCTACACGGGTACACTCACATGTCTTGTTCTCTTGGAGGTTTTTTTTTTTTTTTGACAGGGTCTCTCTATTGTAGACCAGGCTGGCCTTGAGCTCACAGACTGCTGGGACTAAAGGTATGCATCACCACACCCAGCTCAATTTTGCACTCTTGGTTTCTAGGCCACCAATGAAACCCAGACATCTTCCAGCCACATTAACTTGGAGGGACCTGTTCCTTCCTCTGGAAGGATTCGAAATGCTGAGGACTAGCACTTAAATGTAGACCACCTCATCTCTAAATATACTTGTCCTAAATGACTTCTTCCTAGCCTCTAGTTTTAATATACTCTCAGAATAAAATCCCAAAATTGTTATTAGGGAAACTGAATTTCCTCTTTTGGATTATTTTTTTTTAAATACTTTATTATTTTTACATTATGTGTATTGCCTGTATGTATGTGAGTGCACCCGTGGCGTGCAATGCTGCGGAGGTCAGAAAAGGGCATCAGATTGCCGCAGATGTCAGAAGAGGGCATCGGATCCGGACCTGGCATTAAGGACAGTTCATAGCCGCCATGTGGGTGCTGGCTGGGAATCAAACCCGGGTCCTCTGCAAGAGCAGTCAGTGCTCTTAACCGCTGAGCCATCTCTCCAGCCCCCCCCCTTTTGGATTCTTAAGTCTTATTAATAAAAGAATTTAGAAATAGGGCCAGTGAAATGGCTCAGAGAGTAAAAGCACTTGCCACCACACCTGATGACTTCAGTTGGATCCTTGGGACCCATGTTGGAAGTAAAGAACTAATTTCTGCAAATTGTCCTCCGACCACACAAGGCCCTGGGTTGAATCTACTACATTGCCCAGGGCCTTGTACATGTTAACCAAGAATTCAACACTGTGCTGTATTTCCAGCCCTAGACTAATACACATTATATATCTAATATTTGGTAAAAAGCAAACACTTTTGAGTCTGCAGTTTTCTATTACACTGTCATGAGACGTCAGCACTTACTCTCCCACTAACTAGATGTGGGAAGTTTTTTTTTTTGGCTAGATATATAACAGGGAAAATGGGGCTGGAGAGATGGCTTAGTGGTTAAGACCACTGACTGCTCTTACAGAGGACCCAGGTTTGATTACCAGTACCCACCTGACAGCTAACACCCATACATAATTCCAGTTCCAGGGGAATCCAACACCCTCTTCTAGCTCCAAGGGCATTGTATGATATGGGTATACTTACACACTTGAAGGCAATGCACTCATACATATGAAATAAAAATAAAAACCCACAGGGAAATGACTGGATAGCAACAAAGCAGCACTACAGAAATAGATAGGTGGTATTTTCTTTTTTTAAAAAAATTATTGGGCTGGAGAGATGGCTCAGCGGTTAAGAACACTGGCTGTTCTTGAAGAAGACCCGGATTCGAATCCCAGCACCCACATGGCAGGTAACAACTGTCCATAACTCCAGTCCCACAGGATCTGACAGCCTCTTCTGACCTCCGTGGGCATTGCATGACACGAGTGCACTTACCTATATGCAGGCGATACACGCATACACATAAAACAAAAAATTTTAAAAATATATTATTTTTCTTTTGTGTACACATGTATTGCTTTCAACATGTCCCTCATACAGTAACATCAGAATTCTCCAGGGAACTTAATGGAACTAAATGCAAAGACTCAGCACACATGTAGGACCTTGTAAATCACAAACTAAAGGTAATGTCACCCTCCAGTAACATCAACCTCCAGGTGATTTGAATGTACACCAAGTTTAAGAAACTTTCGTGAAGATGAAAGGGGAATTAAGTAATAGTGGGTTTATGTGATCATTGCTTTGCACAACGAAGCCATGATTAACTTTATAAGACAAAAATCATCCAGCCCAGTGGGAGAATTAGAACACTTACCTAACACACACACACCAAGCCCTAGGTTTGAAACCCAGCACCACAAAAATCATGAGCATTTGGAGTTAATGCAAATTTCAAAGACGAATTTTTCATACTTTGTGCTGTCTCATGATATTGCAAAAGGAAAACACCTTAAAACGTTAAATGTATATATGAAACTAAGCAGGGAAACTAAAAGGGGACAGAAATTTGGTATTTGGAAGGCCAAGAATTCATTTACATATTTAGGTATAAAATTCATGGTTACTCCCCAGATAGTAAGAAAAGATAGTAGTCACACCAAAGAACTTAAGTTTTAAACTTTTGAGATTTTTAATATTTTAATATTTTTAAAATATTATTTTTATTTATGTGTTCTAGCGTATTTGCTGCATGTATGTAAGTGCACCTGTTATGCAGTGCCTGCAGAGGTCAAGAGGTGTTGGATTCCTCTGGAACTGGAGCTACAGTTGTTAGCTGTCATGTGGGTGCTAGGAATCGAACCCAGGTCCTCTGCAAGAGCAACTAGTAGTGCTAGTTCCAAACCAGTGCACTGGAGCCACCTCTCTAGCCCCAGATGCTGTATATTCTTAACATTCATTATTAGAAAAATAAGCTGGGGGGGTTGGTTCATCATGTAAAGGAGTTTGTCACAAAGTCTGAGGACCTGAGTTCAATCCCCAGGACCCACATGATGGAAGGAGAAAAAATTCCTACAAGTTTTCCTCTGACCTCCATGTGTAGACTTTGGTACATGTGCCCACATACATATAAATAAATGTAATAAAAAATAAAACACTTTAATAGAGCTGGAGGGAGCTCAGTTGGTAAACTGCTTGCCTTGCAAGCTTAAGGACCTGAGTTCTATGCCCTGAAGTGTTTAAAAAAAAAAAAGGCCGGGAGTGGTACATATGCCTTTAATTCCAGCACTTGAGAGGCAGAGGCAGGCAGATTTCTGAGATCTTGAGATGGAGGCCAGCCTGGTCAACACAGTGAGTTCCAGGACAGCTGGAGCTGCAGGGAGACCCTGTCTCAAAAAAGACAAAAAAAAAGTGGGAGCAATTGTTCACTTGTTACCCCAGTACCTAGAGGGCACAAACAGGCAGATCCCTGGGGCCTGGGGCATCAGCTTAGTTCCAAACCAGTTGAGATACTCTGCCTCAAAAAAACAAAAACAACAATAAATCAAAACAAACAAAAAAAGCACATGGAACAGCACCTGAGCCTGTCCTCTGGCTTCCATAAACATGTGCACCTGAACATAACACATGCATACCCATAACACACAAAAGCAAATATTCTGTACCAAGTTACACTGTGATGAAGGATTAAAATTTAAAGATCTGGAGCTCTGACTGCTCTTGCAGAGGACCTGGGTTTGATTCCCACCACCTACATCCATCCGTAACTCCAGTTCCAGGGGATCCAACTCCCTCTTCTGACCTCTTCTGACATACATGCAGACAATACACTCATACACATAAAATAATAAAAATTTAAATTTAAAGATCTTCAAGAAATATAATAGGTCTGAGCCACCCATCCAACTCCCCCTTAGGCAGGAAAAGAAACAAAAAAGGTGCATTTGTCAAAGTAGTGGGAGGAATGAAACACTCCACCTTTCAAACGATGTCCACGGAAGTACATTAATGTAAAGCTCTTAAGTTTCTAAGCTCACATTATTTTGCAAATATTAGAAATATAAGGACAAAAGCCATACGCTCCATACTGTAACATGCTAAAATGAAAAGATTGAGTATGCTGTCATTTTTAATTTTAATAAAATAGATAATTTCATATTACATAGTGTCAAGTCCATCCATTCATTGTTAATAAAGTTTTAGAAATATTTTCTATAAAAGCTTAATATTTGATTGGGAATTAATCCACTAGAACATTTCTACAGGTACAGCGCTCCTACCTTTACCTCCTTTCTTATTAATTTTTGAAAAATTTGAAAAATACAGAAAAGTACAAAAAATAAGACAAGATATCCATATACCACAACTGAGAATTAGCCAGTATCTTCATACATTTACTTGCAGTCTTTAAGAGAAATGCTTATATAAAAAGCTGAAGCCCCCTCCCCACCCACCGCCCACACCACTCCCTTCCCTTCTCCACTCTTCAGAGGCCAACACTCTGGGGAGTTGGTCTGTATCCTTCTGATGTATCTCAAAAACACTTACATACATGTGTGTTCATATCGATATAAACTGAGTTTCATGAAGGAAATTTTAAGTTTACAGAAAATCACGGTACTATATGCATCATTCTGCAACTTGAGTCTCCCCCCTACACTTCTAGCATCTTTCCATTCATACACATGGAGCTCATTTGCTGCATTTTACAGATACCTGCATAGTTGTCCACCTAAGAGTTCCTCATTCCATTCCCAACAGGCATTTCAGGTCTTTCTCATATTTCGCTACTCTAAGTCACGGTAAATTTCCTGGCATCTACCTGAGTATAAATACTCATGAGAATTGCTAAGTATTTTCAAATGCTACAAGGAATGTTTTCCTACTCCCAAGGTCATAACCTTGCATTTTTATATTTCTGCTTTCAATCTCCATAGATTTTACTTCTACTACTGTGTATAGTTTGCGCTGTGTTCTCTTCCCTCCTCATGAGAACAATTTACTTCCAAACGTAGTCTTGGTGTTCTCCTAACACCATTCCTTTCAGTCTGGATTCTGCAATGCATAGGTATCTTTCTGGAATCTTTGCAGTTCTTTTGACTCTACACAAGTTTTATATTACTGTAAATGATCATAAAAATTATTTCTTCTAATACACTGGTAAAGATCTCCAGATCTCTGCTGACAACATTAACAGACCTGTTTTCCACTCTCAATTTTAGATGAGTATGCTTAGTAAGTTCCAGCATTAGTTTTGCTGTCTGTTGTGGGTTTTTCTTATCGCACTGGCTTTTAATCATCAAAATGTCTTTCTCTTCAGGATGAATTCTCGGGTGTCTGTTACATTTTAGCATTGGTGAAAAGTTCACCTCATTTGTAGTGCCTAGCTTCAGAACGATCGAATGATGCACCATGAGGTATAACTTCTTAATGAACACATTCCCACACTGAATCTATTCATAGGTTTTTAATGAGTATGGATTTTTTGGTGTCTAATATGGTGTGACTTCTGACTGAAAGCCTTTCCACACTCACTACACTGATAAGGCTTTTTACCTGTGTGTATTCTCAAATGCAGGGCCAGGGTTGAGAACTGAGAAAAGGCTTTCCCACATTCATTACAACCATAGGGTTTCTCACCTGTGTGGCTCCTCACATGCACTGTTAGAGATGAACTCTGAGAGAAGGCTTTCCCACATACATTGCACTCATAAGGTTTATCACCTGAATGAATTCTCACGTGCACAATAAGTGATGTTCGTTGAGAGAAGGCTTTTCCACATTCATTACATTCATAGGGTTTCTCTCCAGTGTGAATGTTTTGATGCTTTATGAGGTACTTTTTCTGGCCAAAAGCTGTTCCACACTCATTACACTTAAAGGGTTTCTCACCAATATGGATTTTCTCATGCTCAGTAAGGTTTGATTTTCCACTAAAGGTTTTCCCACACTCCTTACATATGAAGGGCTTCTCGCCTGTGTGAGTTCTCTGATGTCTGATGAGGTTTGACTTCTGAATGAAAGCTTTCCCACAATCTTTGCACTCAAAAGGTTTCTCTCCAGTGTGAATTTTCTGATGGGTAAGCAAGTTTTCTTTCTGGCTAAAGGACTTTCCACAATCATTACATTCAAAAAGCTTCTCTCCAGTATGGGTGTTCTGATGTTTAATGACATATTGCTTTTGGCTAAAGGCTTTTCCACATTCGTTACATTCAAAAGGTTTCTCTCTATTATGAAAATGCTCATGTTCTGTGAGATTTGATTTGTGGCTAAAGAGTTTCCCACATACCTTACAGGCATAGGGGTTTCCCCCACTCAAAATTCTTTGCTGATTGAGGTGTGACATCTGAATGGAAGTTTTACAACATTCACAAGGTTTGTCTCCAGTATAAAAGTTTTGATGAATGAGGGTTTACGCTTGGCTGAGGATATTTCCACATTTCTTACAGCTCTAAGGCTTCTGTGTCTGATGTCTCAAATGCAGTAAGGGACAAAGTCTGAGAGAAAGTTTTACCTTCTCAGTACAAATCTTTCTCTCTAGTATAACTTTTCTAATAGCTAATGACACTGTGCAATGTTCACTTGTTTCTCTCCAGGATGAATTTTCTGCTGTTAGAGATCTGTCATCTAGCTAAAAGCTTTTCAATATTCCTTAGAAACCCAGGGCTTCCTCTCAGCATGGCTTCTATGCTCAATGAGATGGGACATGTGAGGAAATGCCTCCCTACATTTGGCAAATTCATAGGCTTTTCCTCTAGTATGAGTGTTCTGCTTCCAAATGAGGCAGTTTCTAAGCCGCAGGCCTTTCTGCACTGGTTTCTACTTGCAAGGAATTATAACCATAAGGACTAAGCTGCGGTAGAGGATTTCCAAACAGTTGATTCTTTCCTATATGACTTCCTTTCTGTTTAAGTATAAATTATGTTTTGAACTCAAAATTTCAAAAAGGTTGTCTTTCAAGAATGAAGTCTGTTTTGAAGAAAGTAGCTGAAAAACAAAAAAGAAAGAAATTAAAAAGAAATGAAGTCTAGGAGCAGAAAAAAAGGTTATTCCAATTTTCTTTCTTTTTCATTTTTTTTTTTTTTCCTCCCTAGTTTCTTGAGACAAGGTCTCACTATAGCCCCGGTTGGCCTGGAACTCACTATATATATATAGACCATGTTGCCTCAATCTCACAGAGATCTGTCTGCTTCTACCTTCCAAGTACTAGGATTAAAGGTGTGCACTCCAATTCTCTCACACTCACCTTTTATCCTTGGTCTATACTTTGAGACAGATTCAACTGGCCTCCCAAATCTTGATGCTGCTCTATGTACTTGTCATTTTCTCAGCTTCTACAACAAATCACAAAGAATCATCATTTAAAGGAACCATGGGTGGTACATGGTAAACACTTGACAAATACTACCTTTAGGCTATAGAATTATCTGTGTAATTTCCCATTATGGATAATACAATTTCAGACAGCTTAGGATATAGTTCAATGGTAAGAGTGCTTACCTAGCATTCATGAAGTTCAAGGTTCACCCTCCCCTCCCCCAAGCCAAGTATTTTTCCCACTCCTGTAATCCCCAGCACTTGGAAGGTAGAGGCAGAAAGATTAGTTCAAAGCCACCTTTAGCTGCATAAAGAGTTCAAAGCTACCCTGGGTTACATGAGACTACCTCAAAAATAAAAATAAAAGGGTTAGAGAGATAGCTCAGTAGTTAAGAGCACTGACTGCTCTTGCAGAGGACCCAGGTTTGAATTCCAGCACCCACATATCAGCTAACAACCATCCATAACAGTTCCAGGGGATCCAACACCCTCTACTATCTTCTGCAGGCATTGCACGACATGGGTGCACTTAGATACACGCAGGCAATACATTCATACATATAAAATGAATTTTTTAAAAATTAAAAAAATTTAAAACTTTTGTGTATGGGGATTGCACTTACAGGGATTAATTCTACTAGCCTAAATATCCCAGAATGGTAAGAGGAAAAAAAACTCCATGTGACCAATATCTAACTGAATTTTAAGAGAACCCTTATAAAGGATGGCTAGGTGAAAGATTCATGGGTTTACAGAGCTTAGGTTACTCTTGAAAAATAAATCTTTCCCATTTAAGAAATCAGTAAATTGGTGCTGGACGTGGTAGCGCAGCCTTTAATCCCAGTGGCAGAGGCAGGTGGATCTCTGAGTTCAAGGCAAGCCTGTTCTACATAGTGAATTCCAGGCCACCTGGGCAACAAAAAGACTCTGTCTCAAAAAGACCAAAAAGAAATCAGTAAATTGTTTAACAATGTGGAATTACTCAACAGGATGAAATGACTACATAAAATGACATAATTATCAATCTGCTAACACAGCCCATACAGCACGGTCCTTTTTAAAAAATATTTTTTAACAATTTTCTTACATTTTTATTTATTGTGTGTGCAGTAGGGTACATATATGCCATGGTATGTGTGTGGAGCTCAGAGGACAACCAGCAGGAGAAAGTTCTCTCCTACCAGGTACGTCCCAGGGACTGAACTCAGGTAAGGCAGCTGGGGAGATGGCTCAGTGGATAAAGCCCTTGCTGTGCAAGTGTGAGGACCTTAGTTTGAATCACCAGAATACAGAAAGCTGGGTGTGCTAGCAGGTGTCTAATTCCAGCATAGCTATGGCAAGATGGGAAAGAAGACAGGAGTAGCCCCAGAAGCTTGAGGGCCAGCGAGCCTCATATGCACTGGTGAACAAAGAGCCCCTACGTCAAACAAATTAGGACTAACACCCACAGTTGTCCTCTATCCTCCACTTGTGTGCTAGCACACGTGCCTGCACTCACACACATCATACAAACACATAAAAGTCCACTTGAATACCAACAATTGCTTACTACCAATACCCCATAAGAGAAAATGGCTGAAACGAAGATTAGAAAAGGATTTATAGAAAACATCAAGGGCTGTGGCTGTAGCTCAGTGATAGAGTACTTGCCCAGGATGCACAAGGCCTTACGTTCAACCAGTCTGATTAAAAAAAAAAAAAAAAGGAGGGCTGGGCAGTGGCACCTAGGGAGATGGCTTGATCAAGATGCTTGCTGCACAAGCATGAGGAGCTGAGTTTGGATCTCCAGAAGCCATGTGAAAAGCCAGGCACTTGCCTGTAATCCCAAAGTGGGAAAGGCAGACAGGTGGATTCCTGATGTTCACTAGCCACCCAAAATGGCTGAATCAGTGAGCTCCAGGTTCAGTGAGACAAGGTGGAGAGTGATCAAGGTGGACAACTTACATAGACTCTGGCCTCCACACACCCAAAATGGGTATGTATACCCCCATCCACACACAAAAAGAATGTTAGAACAGATACCAATTTAATTTTAAAAAGTAGTGCTGGAGATCAAACCTAGAACCTTGCTCATGCTAGACAAGCACTCTACCATGGTCATACCCCAATTCTGTTGATTACCTTTCATTTTTCACATTTATTTATTTATTATTATTATTATTTTTTTGTCTTTTTGAGACACGGTCTCCCTGTAGCCCCAGCTGTCCTGGAACTCACTATGTAGACCAGGCTGGCCTTGAACTCACAGAGATCTGTATTCATTTATTTTATGTATATGTATACATACTTGGAGGTCAGAGAATAACTTGGAGTCAGTTCTTGCCTTCCACCATGTGGGACCTGGGGATGAAACTCAGGTTGTCAAACTTGGTGGCAAGTGCCTTTACCCACTGAGCTATCTCACCAGTCCTAATGTTTTTTGATATTATTTGTTTTTATTTTTATGTGTATGAGGTGTTTTACTTAGACGTATATAAGTGCACTGTGTGATGTAATGCCTGACAGAACAGCACATTGGATCTCCTGGAACTGGAGTTCCAGATGGTGTTAGTCACCATGTGAATGCTGCACACTGAACCTGGGTCCTCCAAGAGCAGCCAGTGCTCTTAACTGCTGAGCCATCTCTTCAGCCCCTACCAGTCCTAACTTTTAATAATGGAAAATTTATGGCAGGTTTTCAAGGTATAACAGACTCATTTGAGGAAGTTTATATGTATGTAAAGATACCTAGAAGAAGCTAATTTCAATCAAGAAAACTGGTTTGTACATGAACTATCAGAAAGAAATGAAGGAATTCATGCATCTCAAAAAAAAAAATGGAAGGATGGATGCTCGTTGAAGAAAAGACACAGAATAAGCAACACTCAGAACTATAAAGGATCCAAGGTGTGGTGGGACAGGTTTAGAGTTCCATCACTTGAGAAGGAAAGCTGGAGGATCAGAAGTAGAGGTCATCACTGACTACATAGTAAATTTGAGGTCAACTGGGGACATGTGAGATCATTTTTTAAAAGGGCAATTAAGACTGTGAGGAGATGAGACAGATTATACTGTATACGAAGAACAGGGTCTCCTTACCGGAAAGGGTATTACTTTACCTTTGCCTGGCTATCTGCAGGTGGCTTAATGACAAATTCAGAGGATAAACCAAAGAAATACAGGAGTGAAAGAAATCTCAGAAAAAGGATAAAACTGATTAGAACAACAACAAAGCTATCACTATATTTTTTTTTTGTTGTTTTTTTGAGACAAGGTTTGCTATATAATTCTTACTGGCCTAGAACGCTCTATGTTGACCAGGGTGGCTTTGAACTTGTATGGCTCTTCTTGCCTCCACATCACTGTACTAGATTTACAGGTGTAAATCACTATGGTCCACTTGATTATCTTTTTTTTTTTCTGTAGTTTTTGAGACAGGGTCTCCTTGTAGCCCCAGCTGTCCTAGAACTTACTATGTAGACCAGGCTGGCCTCGAACTCACAAAGATCCACCTACCTCTGCCTCCCAAGTGCTGGGATTAAAGGCATGCACCACCACACCCAGCCACTTGATTATCTTTTTTTTTTTTTGGGGGGGGGGGGGGTTGAGAGCAGTCTCACTATGTAGCCCTGACAGGTCTCCAACTCACAGAGATCTACCTGCCTCTGCCTCCTGAGTGCTGGAACTAAAGGCCTACGCCACCATGACCAGCAAATAAAAATAAGTCTTTAAAAAAAAAAAAAAAAAATCACAGAAAATTAGAACACAAAATTCTAAGAGAAATCAACTTCTACAATTAACCCATCAACTAAAGTCATTAAATAAAATAAAGCATTTTCAGATACACAAACGCTACAGTTTGAGAACTTGTTTCACAAAACAAAAAGTAAAAGATTAATTCAGATACTAAAACACAATCATAAAGCTTCAATAATAAAAAGGTAAGCATAAATTCATACTGACGGATCAATAATATAAAGTCCTGAAACAGATCAAATACGTGTGAGAATTTAGAATAGTATCAAAGTGGCATCTTTTTCGCTGTTTTTTAGTTTATGGAGACAGGTCTTATCTGTAGCCCAAACTGACCTGGAACTCACTCTGTAATCCAGACTAGCTTTAAACTTACATCAAATCTCTTGCCTCAACCTATCAAGTGCTGGGATTACAGACATGAGTCATCATAACTAGCTCAAAGTAGCATCTTAAAATAGGATCGTAATATAAGGGGTGCTTTTGCAAAAAGCATTGACTCCTCATATGGACCTACAAAGTAATTAAAAACAGGATGAAGGGAGCTGGAGAATGGCTCAGCAGTTAAGAGCACTTGTTACTCTCACAGAGGACCCAGTTTTGATTCCCAGCACTCACATGGCAGCTCATAATCACCTGTAACTTCAATTCCAGAAAATCAAAAGTCCTCATCCAGGCTCTGCAGGTACCTGGCGTGTATATGGTGTGAGAACATACATGAAAGCACACATACATTCACAAAAATTAAAAATCTTAAAAAAAAAAAAAAAAAGCCAGGATGAGGGGCTGGTGAGAGCTTAGCAGCTAAAAGCATGCGTTGCTCTTGCAAAGGACCAGAGTTCAGTTCCCAGCACTCATGTCAGGAGCTCATAAGCACCTATAACTCCAACTCCAGGGGATCTGATACCTCTGGCCTGAGGGCACCTATACGCATGTGCACATACCACCCCTACATACATAAAATTTTTTAAAGAATAATTTTTTTTAATCTTTAAAAAAAAAAAACCTAGTTGGAGGGGCTGGAGAGATGGGTTAGAGGTTAAGAACACTGGTTGTTCTTGCAGAAAACCCGGGTTTGAATCCCAGCACCTACATGGCAGCTAACAACTGTCTGTAACTCCAGTTCCAGGGGATCCAACAGTCTCTTCTATCCTCTGTGGGCATTGCACAACACGGGTGCACTTACCTACATGCAGGCAATATACACATACATATACAATAAAAATAAATATTTTTTAAAAACAAACAAACAAAAAACCTAGCGACATAAAAGCTTGGGTGCTCC